ATAGACTCTACTAGCCATTTTACTAGACTCTCCCTTGATGAACCCTTTTACATGGACACGAGTGCTACCTTTTATATGAGTAATTCGGTGGTAAGATCTTATCTCTATCTCTATAAAATGGTTTTGATTATGTTACGGTTGGAAATGGTTCTCCCTTACCCATAAAAGCATTAGTAAACTTGAACTCCCACAGCTTAATTATTCATTTTATCTCCCAAAATTTTGTTTGTTCCTACACTTCGAAAGAACCTTTTTTATGTTTTTCATTTTAATCATGATAATCATTGCTATTTTGAATTTCACTCTTGGATTTTTTTGATAAAGGACAACAATATGGGGATTACTCTTATACGCTACCCCGGTGACGATCCGTTGTATCCCTTACTTTCTTCATCTAGTGTCACATTGTCTCCACGAGCCTTCATCGGCATTTCAACTTCATTTGATGTGTGACATGCACATCTCGGTCATCCTAGTTCGAAGTTATCAAACGTCTCTCGTCTAGCATTCTAGTAGCGTCAAATAAGAGCACATCCAAATTTTATTACTTGTCATGTCTTGTTTCCAAAGCATGTGATCTCCTTTTTTCGGATAGTAGTTCCTTTACTTCAAATTTTTTAGAAATAATTCATTGTGATGTATGAAGCTCTCTTGTTGCTTTCGTCACTAGTTTCATATATTATATTTTATTAATCGATGATTTCTCATGTTTTTGTTAGTTATATCCTATGCATCGAAAATATAATTCCTTGACTTGTTTTGTAACTTTTAAATTGCAAGTTGAAAACTTATGTTTCATTAAAATTAAGATTTTTTTGTTTGACAATGGTGATGAATTTATTGGAAATTCTTTTACCTAATTTTTAATTGATAAAGGTATCCATTTTAAAACTTCATGTCCTCATACTCCTAAACAAAATGGAGTTGCGGAGCACAAACATTGACATATTAGTGAAATGGAGCGTACTCTTTTAAAACATACCTCTCCTCCTCTTTCTAAATGGGTTGGGTCTTTTCAAACCTCGGTTTATCTTATTAATCGTCTCCCCACACATGTTTTTTCTAATTTTCTCCTTTTCAAGTCTTGTTTCAAAAGCCACTCGATTATTTATTTTTATGAGTCTTTCGTTGTCTATGTTTTCCTAATCTACAGCCATATACATATCATAAACTCAAGTCTCGGTTTGCCCTATGTGTTTTCTTAGGATACAATTTATAACAAAAAAGTTATCATTATATGTTCATCGCTACAAGTAAGGTTTACATAAATAGGCATGTTCGTTTTATTGAACATATATTTTCTTATAATTCCCCTATTGAGTCCCAGTAGAGCCTAATTGCTACTCTCTAAAATGGTCACATCGTGCTAAATTAACTTCCTTATCGAAGCTAAATAACAAACCGAGCCCTAGTCCCCTCCCGTCTTACCTTTGCCTAGTCCACAACCAAACACATAGCTTGATACTCTTACTACAAGTATCTAACCATTGCTACCGCCGCAACATGATGATGAATCTACACAACAACTCGGTGTCTCTTCTCGAGTTCCACAGCGAGCACCCACAAACACTCATCCTATGCTGCATTAACGGTAAGTCCGGTATTTCAAAAAGGTCCAACGTTTTAGTAAAGATCCTAAAGTCTAAGTCATTTGACAGAGCTCAAAGGATGGACTATAAGTGAGGAGGAGTATTAGAACACATATCCGACATTGAAATGATTAACAAAAGATGAGTAATATATAAGTTTAAGAAGATGTCACCTACTTAAAGGCTTAAATTTTTTTATTGGAACACAATCTCATTATATATATATATGTTTAACTATTCAATGTAATATATGTTCTCTAACATTCATCTTCACTTATAACTCATCTTTTTGAGATCTATCGATACAAAATTGAGATTGAGATTGGGTTCTTTTTAAAAAATCATAAACGAATTATAGAAAATTGCAGAATTTTATATAGTTTTTAAACCTAAAAATTAATTAATTAGTTTTATTAAATTACAAGAAATAAGTTATAATTTACTTCTTCAAAATTTAAAATTCAGTTGCACAAAGTGCAAATGAGTCGTACCGCATGATACGTTTTTTTTGCATTTTCTCCAAAATCTTAAACCACGGTATCAATGATGTGCGGGATTGTGGCCCATTTATAAACAAAATACGGGCCTTCTAAATACATCTACTTAAGCCTTTAATACATGCCTTTTAAAAACGGTATGAGCCTTCTAGGCCTAAATAGAAGTCCTAGCGACTGCGTTCAGAATGTAGATGTGATTCTTCATAGTCCACGCCCGTTATTATCAGTTTGGCATATATCCTCTTCCATTTTCACCAAAACTTAATTTAGTCAACTGTAACCTAATCCTTATAGCTTACAACAATTATTAATTAACCCTTAGGATTTAAAAATAATTAAATAATTTTAACTGTGTAATAGATTGACTAATTTTCTTTTCTTTAACTCACACACCGAAAGCTTTTTGATGATTGACTAATTTTTACAATAATATTTAAACTGTACTTGCATCATTATCATTCTTCAATCAAACTATTTTAATGTTAAATAAATAAATACACACTTTCTCTGTAGCTGTGCTTCTCTAAGACTTATCTTTGGTAAGAAAAAAGAAATCGAAAATCCATTATTTTGAAAAACATTGATGGTAGAAAGTTTGTAGAAAGTTTGATTATCCTAACATTATCATGAACTTAATGGTTCTCGTATTGGGAGATTGAAAGCTTTTAACGTTTCAGGCAAGTTGCATTAAGTTGTGCCTCTATGAGACCTCTTTTACAATAGCAGTAGTCAAGCAAACGTAAGCAATGACTGCATTTTATCACTTAAAAAATCAAGGCAGCCTCAAATTTTATCCAACCGTTTACTTAGAGTTTACTAAGCAAAATTGTCACTACACATAGCAAATTGGAATTTCTTTTTCATATATATACTTATGTAATTAAAATAGAAGACCTTCCCAGAGAAAGACAAGGGACTTTTGGCTGCTATTACTTTTTATAATTTCCTGATTTTGAATTTATTATGTCCCCCACTCGGATTAATTTTCAGTATTGACAAACTTCTGCAACATATATATATATATATATATATATATATATATATATATATATATATATATACACACACACACTACTCAATCTAAAAACCTAAATTTTTAGGTTATGGATCTATTCTTATATACAAGCTATTTATTTGTATCATTCCTACCGCATATGACATGAGATTCCACTCAAGTACATGTACATGTCTCAACAATTTCCTTTCATAAATAAGTCTCATCTATATCAAATGTAACTCTCACTTGAACGAAAGTATTTTCAATAATCTTAAATACGATAATCACTTTTATAATATTATAATCCAAGTGTTTGACTATTATAAATAAGTGAGAAGATGATGGACGTAATTACAGTGGGCAAAACATAAAAGTTAAGACACTGTTTTTGAATATAATTAATTAAAATGAGTGTATGAGGGAATTAAAATTGAATTTTAGGTAGAAATCATAACAATATTTTCGTAATAATTTCTTATTATAAGAAAAGAGGTTTACTTTCGAATAAGTAAATATTAGTAAGATTTTGTCAAATTATATTGAATTATTGTGTTTACTCTCTTATCCACCTTTGATATTTTCTTTTTTAATGAATTAGTTTATTTGTGGCTGTGCATATTAAATCTCGGTCCTAATTTTCCCAATATTAAGTCAAATTTGTATGCCTCCGTAGAAAATTATATGAAATGGCCATGATTTATATCCTTGATAGGGACTCACTCAATTTCTCATCAATGTAAACGAGGATATATTCTACTTAAAACTCGATTGAAAAAAAAAAATTCCTCTCGATGCATCCGAAACTAGTACAAGGATGTCGTAAAGGTCAAAAACTTAAAAAATTGACTATGACTTTGGCAATATTTACGATATTTTTATAGCTGACTTTGAGTTGGTACTTGTAGGTTGATGTTCACAATGAGGTAGGTGTATATATTGAAGTGCTGGAGTTGTTTGCCCAATGGGCATTGTCTCAAATAAGCGATTGCTAATAGACTTTTTTAGGGTTTTAGTAAACCTTTGTTTCAAGAGTTGCGGCAGTTAGTGCTTCAGTCGAGGAAGCCTGTACCTATCGTTGAATTAATTTTAACAAGCAAAAACATATGGATGCGCCGGAGAGAGCCGTCTGACGTCAATGCATCCGTCATGCACGTTTACATTCTGTGGAATCTTTAGCTAGTATGACGTTCTAGATGATTTTGACTTGCAATCGCTTTTATCCAATGTGTAACTTATGAATCCCATCACACACATGGAAATTGGTTGCCAAATATGATATTGAATGATGATTTCTTAATCACTTTCGTCCTTTTGATTTTAACTTGCCGTCCTAGTCTGTTAGGTCCTGTCACTTGCTAGACTTAATTGTCTGCATTTTACACATAAAATTAATAGCAGGTCCATTCTAGTACTGAAATTTAAACAGTAAAATGAAAGTGACAAAGTGTTTTTTCTTTTTCTTTTTTGTTATTTTTACTTCATCAGGAAAGCTAAGTTCACACTTCCAAATAGAGAAGTCTCACTAGAAACCTCATCCTGAATTTTTTTTTTTTTTGCATGATAAGTGTCATCTAAGATAACTATTGCTAGTTAAGTCATATAAAGAAGATCTTATTATAAACGAAATACTTCTAAGTGATTTAAGTAACAAAAAAAAAAAAAAAGTCTTAATTATTTGGAGGTGGAGACCAATGAAAGGAATACGTGATTGTTGGTCATCTATAATAGATGCACTTTATTGATCTTGTTACGCTCATCTATGTACACACACCACACTATAAAATTTGCTTTAATTGTTAGCTTCAATCAATATTGAGACTTTTGATCACAATTAGAGTCGCAGAGTGTTGAATGACTTGATGCGTCACGTAATTAAACAGATTGACTTCCTAAGCCCCCATATGTACGTCATGGTGATCACATTAGCTGTTGATGTAAGAACCAAATATCCTCTTCGTTCCACAAGTTCTCCAATGAGTCACCGCCACCTACTAATCCATATCTTTCTTGCTCCACGCCTTGCATATCCATACCATGCCGGTACCAACCCCACGACCCACAATCATTTTCCGGGTATGAACCTGACCCGTTTTGCATACTGTCTGAATAGTGACCACAGGGTGGATTTTGAGAAACTGTCAGGTCCGACCCGGGAGAAACATGGACATCCAAAGAGTCTGAGATGCCCGATATCTCGGGCATGAAATTCTGATCCATCAAATCTGATCCGGATTTACTGGCGGCAACTGGGATATCAATCTGGCTGGAATAGTAAGTTGGAGTGCTGATGATGGGTTGATCCATGGGAGATTCGGATTCCGCCCGGATCCTTTCGATTAGCCGGGGTATCCAAACATAACGCATGGTGTCTCGAAATTGTTTGCTATTAACATCACATTTAAGCTGCTTTGCCTGCTTCTGGACTCTGGTTCTCCAGTAATTTTTTATCTCATTGTCTGTTCTACCTGGTAACTGCTGCGCTATTTTCGACCACCTTCAATTAAAATAAGAAGAAACAGATAGTAATTAATGTAAGCGCTACGTCTTCTCAGCAAAACAAATCAAGTAGTAATAATATGACAAAGAAGTACCCGAAAATATATACCTATTGCCCCAGCGAGAATGGAGTTGAAGAATCAAGAGCTGTTCTTGAAGGGTTATATTTCCACGTCTAACATTTGGGCGCAAGTAGTTTAACCATCTTAATCTGCAGCTTTTACCAGTCCGCTTCAGCCCTGCACAGTATTTATATATATGTAAAAATGATACTATCTAATTAATCAGTACTATAAACAAATAATTAAGATAGAACTGATAACATCTTTATGCCTGTGAAAATTCTAACGTTTAGAATAAAAAAGCTAAAGTAGTATTATATATTTATAATATTAACCTGCACAACGAGCAGCTGTATTCCAGTGACCTTCGCCGTGGATGGAAATGTAATGGTCAAGTAAGGAGTCTTCTTCAATGGTCCAAGGTCCCTTCCTTACGCCCATGTCCTGTTCTTGATCAGTTTCAGTTCTTACTTGAGCATTCATTTTTTTCTTTCTAGAGGAAAGGATTTAGGCAGAGAAAGAAGGAGAGAGACTGGGTTTTGGGGTTGGTATGAGAGAGAGAGAGATAGAGGCAGAATACTTGTGTGGATTAGTATTAAAGGGCTATTGATAGAGGAGAGAGTATTATATATAGAGTTGGTGAAGAGGGAATAAACTGAGGGAGACCAAATTTAATTACTATATTTTACATCTAAATGGAATAGATAGCATGTATTGTCGAACGCGCAACAAGTTAACTCTATCATGCTTAGTTCAAAGTTATTATTGTATAAATTAATCAACTTTTGTTTTTGTGAGTATTATATTTGGAGTTTGACCCTTTGACTTTTCAACATTTCAAATGCATACACACTGGCCCAAGTTGAAGGACTAAAAAAAGAAGACCACGGTCATAACATGATTTGTTTTGTGTGTGTAGCTTCTCTAAGATGAGTGTTGAACACTATTCTTTTCTGAGATGTCAAGATCATCATCGTCCTTTTTTTCTTAAGGTGTTTGAATGGCTTAATTACGTACAATGTTTTGCAACATGTGAAGATGACGACAGACCACGCTTTCAACGAGGATTATCTATTTGTGTGACCGACCACTAACAAGCTACTGAGCCTCTGATGCTTTATGATATTACTACTACTTTTTAGTTATCCGCTAAGCAAATAGGAGGCAACATGAAGAATCGGTATCGGTCCTCAAAAATTGTTTTGCTACTTAAGAAACAAAAATTAAGAAGCGGATGAAACAAAGGGTTCCAACTGTTGACAGGGAAATGAGTTAATTATAACTCAGATCTAACAATTTATCAAAACTAATCAATCAATCAATCAATCAATTTATTATAAAAAAATAATTAATAACTCCTATTTTACTAGTTAGTATTGACCATTCTCGATTAAATAGTTTTCTCAAAAAAATACTTACTTTTCTCTGTATATAACATATTATCTACTTCTTCTTCTTCTTCTTCTTTTTAATTTTTTTTCTCAAACTACAAAAAAAAAAAAATCATCAAATAGTGATAGAATTTAATGATGAACATTGGTCTATTGTTAAATAACAAACAAATAACACTCGAATAGCATATGTTGAAACTAGTAATGGAATAGTGATTGATTAGTGATGGTTTATTAGCGATAGAAACTAATTCATCGATAAGTTTGACAATAAAATATTTATGAGAGTTTTAGAGACGGTTTAAAGATGAATTTATTAGAAAAATAACAACAAAATTGCTAATCGGTTTTTATTTTTTTAATGTTTGAATTTAGCGATAGATATTCTATGGCTAAAAAAAATATCCCTCTCAAATTAGCAATGGGTAAGTGTTTCACTAAAAGTGAAAAATTAGGCGGACTTTTGAAATTCAAAAGGCACCTAATTGGCGATAAATATAAAAAGTTTGTCGCTATATGTAAAAAAAATGGACGGTCAACTATAATTAATTAGCCGTCTATTTTACAAAAGAATGGCAACGAGATAATACATTTGTCGCTAATTAGCAATGGATCAATGACCCCGATTAAAACCACTTTTTTCTTCTTCTTCCTCTCTTTCTCCAGCTAGTCACTAATCCCCCTCCCCCTCCCTTCAAAACCAACATCAAACTCCACTCCTCCACTATCAATCAATCCACATCCACTCCAAGCTCTTTTCTTCAAAAAAATCCCTTTTTTTCCTTTCCTCCTTTTGGTGTAATTTCACCGCAATTAGTTAAGTTTTTATTTTTCTCTTTTTTTATATTTCTAATTAAACTTAGTAATTTATTATAATTATTAGGTTAATTTTAAGTTTAATTGCTTAATTTATAATTTTGTAAATATTGAATTGTTATTTTGTTGATTTATTTTTTAAATTGTTAATTTTTTTAATTGTTAGGTAAATTTGTTAGTTAATTGCTATTTAAATTTAATGATAATTGAATTTTAATTAATTAAGTTAATTTTATTTATGTTTAGTTAATTAGGTTAATTTTTTTAATTGGTTGAATTTTAATTTTATGTATATTATAAATTTTTAATTAATTTTTATTTTAAATTTAATTTGGCTAGAATTAGAATTAATTTAATTTAATTTATGTTTAATTGATTAATTTTGTTAATCATGTTGAATTGATTGAATTTTAATTTTACTTATATTAGGAATTGTTAATTAATTATAATTTTAAATTTAATTTGGTTATAATTAGAATTACTTAATTTGATTTATGTTTAGTTAATTAATTAGGTTAATTTTGTTTAGTTGGTTGAATTTTAATTTTAATTTTAATTATATTAGAAATTGTTAATTGATTGTTATTTTAAATTTAATTTGGTTAGAATTAGAATTAATTAAGTTAATTTTATTTATTTATAATTAATTAATTAAGTTAATTTTGTTTAATGAGTTGAATTATAATTTTATTTATATTAGCACTTGTTAATTAATTATTATTTTAAACTCAATTAGGTTAGAATTAGAATTAATTTGGTTGATTTGATTTTATTTATTTAATTAATTAGGTTAATTTTTTAATATGTTGAATTATAATTTTATTTAAACTATAAATTGTTAATTAATTACTATTATAAAATTAAATTAGATTTAAATTTGAGTTAATTTAATTATTTCAATTATTGAAATGTGTCAAGATATGTCGTAATGTATCAAACCCGAGAGGTTGGAGACTTTGAGAATTGAGGAGAAATAAAATTGGTTCAATGCTTTGTAATTGAGTTGGGAGGATGAGTTTGAGACTTAATTTCGATAGAGTATCCGAGGCAAGTGTCGGTCTATTATGACAGCTTGTAATTAAAGATCAATTTTTTTATTATATTTATCAAATTATATCATTTTATCTATTATGCATTTTTTTTATATTTGTTATGCATCGTGAATGTGCTAAATTTTGTACTCGGTAATGTTTTAAGTGATAAAAGAGTATCCAATTTATAGATCTTGTTTGTTTTAATTCAAAATAATTTATAATATATTTTATGTCAAATTATTATTCATTTATTAAATTATTTCGGATGTTATTCTTGATTCATACCTCGTGGATTGAGAAAATCTAATCGTGATGTCGGTTGTTGTGACTTTAATGGTGGTCATGCGATCGATAATGACAAGTGGACATGGATGTAGCACTCGCTAGTGTAAGTGTCCAAGGCTACGAACTTGATAGTGGTGTCGGCACGTCCGCATCCCTTCAAGTAGTGCCTCGGCCGCTTATACCTCCGTCGATAATGCCCTAATTATGGATGCCCTCACGATGATTTTCTCAACTCTGCAAAGCTCTACTCGGATGTACCTTTGGATTGTGAATGCCCGGCAAGTAATATGCTTTACTTGTGATTATTATTTTTATATTTTTATATATTATATTGGAATCATTAATTCATTTTTTTATTTTTTATTTTTTTTGTTTTGCTCAATAGCTTGGTTACATCAAGTAAGTGTTCCTAAAAAATCATTATAATTTTCAAGGAGTAGTTAGATGTCGCCGGCTCCACATGGAAGTCTATCTTCATAGAGATAAAAGACGTCTTCTTTAATGAGTTTAGGGTAACATATTAATTATTTATTTATATTTCATTTATATTGTTAATTTAATATGAAAATTACTAATATTATTTTTTTGTTCATGTAGAATTACTTTTTATGGGATACAACCATCATTGCATTGATTAAGGATGTATGGGAGAGTTTGGCACAGAGGATGTATAGTGACTTGCCGAACAAGCTCGAACCATAAGAGTAAAAGATTTACGTTTGTTAAACAATAAATGTAGGAAGCATGGCACCGGAATGGACCACTCTCGAGGATTAGACTCGATCTCAACGAGCATCTTGGAACCGCATGTCGGAGATGAATAACATCAATGTTGGCCCATCCAAGAATATTGGAGTGGCCATCTCTTTAGTTCAGCTCATTGAGCATTTAGTCCTATATTATCCATTGTATTATAGATTAATTTTTACATTTATTGCATCTTATATTATTTTACCTATTTTTTTCAACATAATAAATTAGTTCATATCCCAAATCCTTACGAACTATTTATGACCACTTACAAGCGAAAAGATAGGTCATCCATTGATAGGTAGTCACGGACAATAACGATAAGTTTTTTTATTTTTTTAAATATGTATATAATCTAAAAATATATATTTATAATTTAATATTATAATTATTTCAATGGCATAAGAGTGCGTGCAATCAATGCAAGAAACAACTCGTTAAGGTGTAATAGGAGGGTGATTTATCGTCTCCAAATATCGATATGTTCAAGTTATATTTGGATGTTGTAGGAGAGGAGACGAAGTAGAAAGTGTATGGCCTCGGATCTCGGGCATCCTAGTATTACTCACATTCTAGTGCTAGCTCCTCCTCTACCACTTCGTGATTTCCCGGTGATAATATCCAAAAGGTTTCGCCCAATACGAAAATAGGATCAAAGGGATGGAGGCTACTATCCATGAATAAGCTAGTCAATTTAGCACTCTATAAAGTCCGATACGGATCGTGATGGAGTTGTTATAAACCCGGAGTAAACTCACATCCTTTTTACCGACCTTCTACAATCAAGGGATCAGTCATTCCTTTCAACATAAAGCAATCGAAAAATGATGCGGAAGATGATGATGATGACAATGAGGATTAGATTTCTTGTTTTTTTTTTAAGTTTTTAATGTTTTCATACACCTTGACACATTTATATATTTATTTTAATTTAATTTATACTATTTTAATTTTATTAAAAAATATATCATGTTTTAATAAGGTATTGTTTACATTTATTTGTTATTACAATTAACAACATACGACTATTAATTTTTATAAAAAATTAAAAATTCCTTCTTAGTGAGGATATTTAGCGTCAAAGGCATATATGATCACTATGTAACGATAGATTTAGCGACAAAATAACAATGATTTTAGCAACTATCATGTAACGACACTCATTCCGTCTCTAAATAGCGACGGATATAAGTGAAAATAATGACGG